AAAGGTGTAGTTTCAGAGCTCATTACCCGTGCTTGAAAGCAGAAAATTTATAAGGACTATCAAGTTTGGAATTTTTGGTACTATTTTAGTTCGAAAGGTATTGCAAGCAATGTAATTATTTCGAGGAAAAAAAGACTATGCACTGTATCTTTTCGATGGATTTATAGTTTTAAAAGTTTTGATCTAATCTAATCTCAGGAAGTGACTTCTGATGGCATTTATAAGTGTTATCGATAGTAACGTACTGCTTGAATACTTATGAGGTACATATTATAGAGGTAGAAAAAAAGCTCCTGTTATTCATATTAAAAGTATTTTGAATCAAAGTAACAAATTACAAGAAAGTATGTTTTTAATAAGAATAAAGCAATCACTTATCCACTAAAGTATTCAAGAAGTTTATGTTTACTTTCATAATACAATGCAATTCTATCTAACCCATAACTGAGGTAATCAAATTCAATAGGTGAATCTTTTGCTGATAAAAATGACCAAATGCACCAAAACAAGTGAGATACAGCAGTGAAACGACGTGCTTCAGTAATCAGTTCATTGATTTTCGCTCCACGATCGACATACGTACTAGGAATAGAATTTCGTTCATTACCACTTTCATTTGAGCATTTCGTCTGCTGTAATAATTAGGATAATGATATTATCAAATTAGGCAAATATAAAATTTGTTTTGAAGACATCTTCAAACTGGTCATTTTAATAATGAAAATGTTCTTTTTTTTTCTGGAAAAAAAAATCTTTGGAACACAAATAAACTCATACTTCGATACATTTTAACAGGAATATTAAACTTTTTGAATTATTTAAACCTTTTCATATTCATCAAGATATGCATTGAAAAGAATGTGTAACTGTTTATCACTTGGAGCTCGTTCTTGTCTTATCCAGTAGTATGGTGGTTTATCGTTTGCATAATCCAATATATATTCACAAATGTGATTAGCAAATTCAAACCCACTAAAATTGAGTACTGAATTGTGTTTTAGAATTTTTGGAATCCATCGATCAAAAATATGAAATTGCGCATGAAAATACCGGTAATTATAGCTGGCGTATTCGAAATCAATCAGAACAAGTGGTTCTTCACTCTCGTCAGCGTTCAAATTACCGTACTGATCTATATGATATTTGTTCCGCAATAATACATTACCTTCCTAAACTAATTCATTTTTGTTTCAATCGGTGCGTTAATATGTTATAGCAAACATATTTCAGAACTATGTACTAGATTTTGCTTCACAAAAACTTTCAAATACCGTTTTTTAACTTTGTGTACTGTATACTATTGAATAGTGATTCTTATCTCAGTGAAATAAAATAATAGATGATCTCTACGAACAATTTTATTACCCACAATCATTTTTAATACAAACGCTACTATTATATCTGCGAATTAAAACAAATTTGTCGAGAAACAAGAACTTACTTGGAGATCATTATGACAAAACAGAACAGGACTTTTGCTTTTCTCCAAACATAACCGAGTGATTTGCAGTTCGTTCCTCAATACATCACATGTTATAACCTCGGGACACTGAAGTATGTTTGACATAAATTTCATCTTATATCATATTTAAAAATAATTTTAGCATATCAACAAACAAATTGATGCCAGTTTGCTTAATTGAAAATCATCAAATGATATCATTAATATTCTGAATAAGTGTTCAATGGAACCTGATTTAACATTTAACATTTACATGTACTGATGTTTGGAAAAAGCAACACGTTAATATGTAAAATGACGTAATTGCAGAAAGTGATAAAGATATAATTACCAAAAGTACATTTGATGCAGTGAAAACTTTATGGACAAATTATGATAAGATAAGTTACAAAAATTAGTTCAATTCATACTTTTGATAGATCTGTTTGAACCATTTTAATTTGCATTTTATGTTCCATTTTACTGCTAAAATTTTCTAATTTTTTCAACCATTCTTCGGCTACCTCAAAAATCATCGGTTCTTTAGATACTGGCACATTAAGAGTATGAATTCTAGCAAGTAAAACTCCCAATCGTCTACTAATTCTGCAAATTAATTGCCATAAATATTATGCAAATGGTATTATGAATGCTTATCATAAAATCAAATACAGTGTGTATATTAAGTTTTTTTTTTACGCAGGATATGATAATTCATGGCATAGCAATGCCCGAGACGGAATGTACTGCTCAAATCGTCCACCTGGGAATACACCAAAAAGTTGTGGCCCAAGCAACCTAAAAATGAATACAAGTAGAAAAAACAAAAAGAAGTTAAACGCTTTAATAAATACTTATTTCGTTGAAAAAAAAATGGAAGCTACAAAAACGTCCAAATATTTTGTATTCTTAATGCATTCATAACTTCGCAAATTTTAGCAATAAATTCGTCGCTTTTTAATTCATTTCATTTTCTACAATACTAAACAATATATATTTTAATTCAAAAAATAAACAACCATTAACTATTTGCTTTTTTTTTCTTTTTGATAGGAGTATAATGAGTGAATTAAATGTATTTGTTCAATTAATACCTCTCAGAAAGCATTGTGAAAATGATAGATTCATTAAAATGACGGATTAGATCAGTGCTGCAATGAATTCGTAGCAGTGCAGACATTGGTTCTAATCCTTGAACAGCAACATCAGATGGAAGTTCGACTAGAAACAATAAATTACTCATTCCACCTCTGCAATAAAAACTTAGTATGACTTAACATAATTCACATTTATTTTATAATTGATGCACTTTTTTTGCAGTGTTTTCATTCTCCAACTGTTATAAATAGTTTAATTACGTACTCCACACACTAGTAACCATTCTTATGATAAGCAAGAGAAGAATTTAGTATTACACACATCAAACTATTCATTTTTGAAAGTGACACCAAATTAGGAAAATATGGTAAAGTTAGTTAGTATAATAAAATTTTTAAGCAAGAACAAAACTTCACAACTTTGTTTCAAATTAAATTTTATCCATTTTACCCAGGATAACTCTACAATAATATTTTTGAATTAAAATAACTAATCTTCCAATAATATAACGTACAACTAATCATTATTTATATCAAAAAATCACACCTCATAGCTCTCATATGCATTTGTTCAGTACCAATTGTTTTCCATGCGCCACCTAAATATCGCGCAGATAAATCTCGTGTATATGCGATAATATGATATGGAATTTGCTTTGATTCACTACATGATTGCGAGAAAAGTTCCTGGAATGGAGAGCACAAAAAGAACGATGAAGATGGAAAACAAGCCATGAAACGATGGATGATGATGGTGATAATGATTATGATGGTGATGATGGTGATGATGATGATGATGATGAAGAGGATGATGAGGAAAGAACTGCTTGAACCCAAGTTAAAAATATTTTTCAAATTAATTTCCACTACCAACTCTACTTACATACTTTCTTACTTGCCTAACTATTTACATACATACTTTAACTACTAATCTACTACTTCTTTGCAAACTAATCATTTGCATTAAACAACCTGTTTCGATATTGAAAACAACACAAAAGAGAGCTTTTACTTTATATTACTACCACTATATATATATAATATATAAATAAATAAATAAATAAATAAATAAATAAATAAATAAATAT